AGAGAACCAAGGTAACAAAGAGGACCCTAAGAGAGACATACAAGTCATTCACAGATGATCTCCATGATCAGGCTTGTCTCCTCATCCTGTGGTGATGCCATGGGTCTTGTGAGCCTTTTCCTATCTCCATGGAACTAGGAGGGGCTGGTCCAACCAAATATTGACACATTTGCCTTCACGTGACCCGAATGAATTCGTTTGCCTTTGGGATGCTACCCCACAAACACACACAGAGTAGCCTCATATTTGTTAAGGATTCTAGAGGTAGAGGCCAAAGAATTGAACCTCATTCATGACTGTGGAGAGTTACAATGTGATAGACTAGAACCGAATTACTTTGGGCTATTTTCAGTTCCTTTGAAAGCTATTTATCGCCAACTTCTTTGCTACTATCCAAAAGTATTCTTAGAAAAAGAGTAGTCTTCTACAATCAGAAAAATCTGGTCTCTAGTCTTTTTGATTGTGTATCTCCAAAACTAATCATATCCTTACCACACCTTCCAGCTACTGTGTGCTTAGGTTTCTATTCTAATGAATTCAAAACATCCACACAAAACCTGTACATAGATATTTACAAGCAGTTCCATTCATATTTGCCAAATCCTGGAGTCCATGAGTGAGTCCTCCAGGAGGTTAATGAATAAACCCATTGTGTTACATTCAGTAAATGGAATACTAGTCAATGCTAACAAGAAAGAAACCATCAAACCACAAAAAGACATGGATTTAACTTCAATTAAAAGAAGGATGCTCTCTCAGCCTGGACTCTTAGGGGAGTGCCTGGACCCTACCCTGAGTGAAATGACAGACTCTAGATATCCCCTATGTGGAAGGAATTGGCAATAGGGTGGGAGGCTGGGGGGGAAGGGGAGTGCGGGAGAAGGGGAGGGAGAGGGAACTGGGATTGAATGTAAAACAAGCAATTTAAAATTAAAATAAAAAATGATAAAAAAAAGATGCACAAACCAAAAAAAAAAAAAAAAAAAAAAAAAAAAGAAGAAGAAGAAGTGAATCTAGGCACTATATAAGAGCGGCCAGCGAGCAGCCGGATCCTCTTTCGGGTCTGGGCTCCAAGATGACCAAAAAAAGACGAAACAACTGGCGCGCCAAAAAGGGCCGCGGCCACGTGCAGCCCATTCGCTGCACAAACTGCGCCTGGTGCGTGCCCAAGGACAAGGCCATTAAGAAGTTCGTCATTCGGGACATAGTGGAGGCCGCTGCTGTCAGGGACATATCCGAAGCGAGCGTCTTCGACACTTACGTGCTTCCCAAGCTCTATGTCAAGCTGCACTACTGTGTGAGCTGTGCCATTCACAGGAAAGTAGTCAGGAATCGATCTTGTGAAGCCCGGAAGGACCGGACACCCCCACCACGGTTTAGACCCGCTGGTGCTGCACCACGACCTCCACCAAAGCCCATGTAAAGAGATGGCTTCATGAAGACAAACACCTTGGAAAAATAAAATAGTACTTTATGTAGCAAAAAAAAAAAAAAAAAAAAAGAAGTGAATCTAGAAGGGATGCATAGCATATGGTCCCAGCTACACGATATTCTTGGAAAGGAGGGGTGACTCAGGGAACTATGCAAAACAAGAAAGGACATGAAGTTTGGAGGGGAACTTGCAGGTAGGAATCCACAAGGAGTTGGGGGGATGGAATGAGCATGATAGAAATATATCATATGTACATATTAGATTCTCATTATGAGATTCTCAAATAAATTAAAATATGAAACATAATGCTAATGGGCTGGAGAGAAAGTTCAGCAGTTAAGAGCACTGGCTGTTCTTCCAGAAGACCTGATTCTCAGAATTCACTTGGCAGCTCACAGCCATCTACAATTTCAGGGATCTGGCATCCTCTCCTGGCCTTTGGGGCACTAAGCATGCATGTGCTATGCTTACAAAATGCAGGAAAGACACCCATACACACAAAATAAAGTAAACCTAATTTTTTTGTTTTTTTTTTAAGATTTATTTATCACATATGCAGTGTTCTGCCTACATGCCAGAGGAGGGCACCAGATTGAACTGTAGATGGTTGAGAGCCACCATATGGTTGCTGGGAATTGAACTCAGGACCCCTGGAAGAGCAGTCAGTGCTCTTAACCTCTGAGCCATCTCTCCAGCCCCTTTTTTTTGTGTTTTTATTCAAAAGTATTTTAATTTTTTATTAATTTATTTTATACATTCCAATCCCAGTTCCCCCTCCCTCCTCTTCTCCTGCTACCCTCTTCCCCCCACCCACCTTCCATCTGCTCCTCAGACAAAGTAAGGCCTCCCCTAGGAATTCTACTAAGTCTCTCCCTTTTTTTTGTTTTGTTTTTTGTTTTTAGAGACAAGGTTTCCCGCGTGGCTTTGGGTAAATCTAGTTTTTAAATAGAAACAGTTAAGAGATCAGAAGTGACAGAAGTGGGCTTAACCATCTGGCTACTCAGTGAAACTCTGATTCATTAATCAGGCTCATCTCTGACAGAAGTGAAACTCCTGTGACAATGGGCAGTGCATGTCATTATAAATCTGTCTACTTGCTGAGTGTACACCAAGCATTAACCTTGTTGCAAACTGTTGATCTTATAGGTGAGTAAGAGGCCACTATAGGTTCACTGATGGTAATAAATGTACCTTACTAGAGCAAGGATTTGATACCAGGTGAAGGGAGTGGTGTGTATATGTGGAAAATATATAAAAATGTGCTTTTTTTCATTTTTCTACAAATGAAAACTTCTCTAAAGTAATCTATTAGCTTCTAAAAAATTACAGATGGGAGACATAAGAAAAATCTGTATTGCCCTCACATTGATAAAATATTTAAAACACAATGAAATTAACAAATCATGAATTGATTGATATAAATAGAGATAGAGAACATAAATTATTAAACTCGAGAGTGATATGACTCCATCCCTATATCTATAAGTGATGGTATGACTCCATCCCTGTTTGACTCTTTGAAGGGTGAGCTTTTGAAATCTTTCTGTAACAAAGGATACAATTGGGATGGCCTTACTAGTGAGCTCTGCCAGACATTTGGGAAGAAAATAGGATGACCATGCAGGTCACAGACGGAGAACTGCTTAGCAAATGCGAAGCACTGGGTCTCATCTCCATCACAGCATCACAGCATAGATAAGTAATAGAAAATAATACCAATCTTTCATGGGGTCTTCCAAGAAAGAGAAAGAAAGAATATTTTTAAACTCATTATAACAGCACAATATTACTCTAAAATTAAAACTAGATAAAATTATCACTAGAAAGTTGTATTTGTAGTGAATACAGATGTAAAAGTCTTTATTTAAAAAAAAAACAGGATCCAGGAACACATAACAAAGATAAGCACCATGACCAAGTACAATTAGTTTGAAGAAGCAAGGCTCATTAAGCATCTGAAAGATTAATATAGGACACTACTAGAATAAAGAGGAAAAGACTATTTCATGTATACATGTAGGAAAGCCTTTGATAAAATCAAACATCAATTCATGATTTTGAAAGGAAAAATATAAACTTAAAAAGCATAAAAGAACTTCATTCTTTAAGGGAAGAAAGGACAGCTACAAAAAAACTCAACACCCAACACTTTTTGTTCATTGCCCACTGGTGCAGAACTTACACTCATAACTGAACAACAGATTGAGACCCTTTCCAAGGGAAGTCATTCTTCTAAAAGCATTGTTCTGATATTTTATCTCTGCCTCTCTGTGTCTTTCCTCTCTCTCTCTCTCTCCCCTCATCCCCCCCTCTCTCTGTGTGTGTGTGTGTGTGTGTGTACGTTCATTCATGCATGTATGTATCATGTTCACAAGATAGCCTCAACTGTTGATACTCAGCTTCCACTTTGCCAAGTCTCTTTGCTGCTCTGTACATACACCAGGCTCCCTGACCTTGAGTGTGCAATGATTCTCCTGTCTCCATCTCCCATATCACCATAGCAACACTGGGATCATAGACACGGTATCTGGGTTTAGCTTTCTCATAGCCCTAAGTATTCAAACTCAGATCTTCACACAAGAGCAGTGGTTCTCAACCTGTGGATCAAGACCCCTTTGGGTTCAAACTACTCTTTCACAGGACTTCCATAATAGATGTCCTATATATAAGTTATGCAGGATTTAATTCATAATAGTAGCACAATTAGAGTTATGAAGTAGCAATGAAAATACTTTTATGTTTGGGAGCCACAACATTGGGAAGGTTGAGAAAAGCACTGCTCTGGAAGAAAGTGTTTCTTCCCCACACTGAACCACCTGCCTGGCCCCTTGTCCATCTGAATTCAAGGATTTTCTTTTTTTTGAGACAAGGTCTCTCAATGTAGCCCTCGCAGACATGGAACTCACTATATAGACCAGGCTGGCTTTGAATTCACAGAGATTCATCTGCCTCTGCCTCCTGCATGCTAGGATTAAAAGTGTGTACCACCACACCTAGCAAGTCCAGCCCGAGCTACTGTTTTTGAAAGGTACTAGTCTTATGTCAACTTGCCATACTAACTAGAGTTATCTGAAAGGAGGGAAACATAATTGAAAAAATGCCTCCATAAGATCTGACTATAAGGTATTTTCTTAATTAGTGATTGATGGGGGAGAGCCCGGCCCATTGTGAGTGGTAACTCCCTTGGGCTGGTGGTCCTGGGCTGTATAAGAAAGCAGACTGAGCAAGCCAGGCAATACCCCTCCATTGCCTCTGCATCAGCTCCTGCCTCCTGGTTTCTGCTCTGTTTTGGTTCCTGTCCTGACTTCCTTTGATGGTGAAAAGCAATGGGGAAGTATAAGTCAAATAAACCCTTTTCTCTCCACCTTGCTTTTTGGTCATGGTTTTCATTACAGCAATAGAAACCTAAGACAGATTCGAATGCTTGTTTTTTGTTTTGTGTGTTTGTGTGTGTGTGTAATTACTACAGTGCGTGAGGGAGATTCCAAAAGGGATTAGCACTGAATTTAAAATAGCAGAGGATGCCCTGCCAATGAGCTGATCATCAGGTAATCTTCAGAAAGCTTGAGTAGAATAAAAGGGCAGAAGGAAAAAACTTTGGTCTCCACTGTATTGAGACTTTGGACTCCAGGCCTCGATTGCAAAGATCTTCATACAGCAGGTTCCTTTACATTTAAATTATATACTTATGCTCTTCTATGATTCTCTACTATATCTATACATTTTTATTCTAAAATTAGAATTTCTGATAACTTTATATTACGTCTGTCTTATATTAGGAAGATAAAAATGTTGCATTTTGATTTTCTCTTTTTCTTTGTTCATGGCTTTTCTGACTTACAGAAAAACAGTTTAAACTTATGTATTAACCATTTAGTTGTGTCTTGAAACTTCTGCTATCATTGTATCGAAAGGCTTTTCTCATGCATGTATTTTCTAGTTCTTTTATACATTCATATTTATAATTTAACTTTAAATTCATAATGATATATTTATAGAACATTGAGGTAAGATTATAACTTTATTACTTTCAAAAAAGTGTATCAGTTACATCATCAAGCCTCAATCTTTCCCTAACTATTTGAAATGCTACCTACTCCTGCACTAAAAATATTAAGCCTAAAGTGTTAGCCCCATTTTAACCTGTAAATTTGTGTTTAAAAGGTATTTTGTTAAAATAATATTCTATGATCAGTTAATTTACAAAGCAAGTCATCTACTACTAGAAAATGCTTTGTCATGCTCCATGGCAGCCTGTTGTAATCTGCCTAGTTGTGAAAGTGAGTAATGCCTAGAACATTCTTTTAGGAGTTAAATAAGCTGGAAAAGAAAATAGAAAGCATGAACAAGGGGGGCATGATGAAAAGACAGAGACAGTTTGCAGGGTGGTTTCTTATTAAACACACTAGGAACTGCAGACATCCTAAGTGTTGTCCTTGCACACTAAAAGGTATGTGTGGTTCATATTTCAGCCCGGGCATCAGCTACACATTCTCTAATATCCAGGAGTGATTAGTGTGTGTTCTTTCTCTCCAGGAACTCTTTCGATGATCAAGTCATGTCCCTATTTATTAAGCTTTTCCCTGGATTTCTGCCCTATCTCATATTCAAAAAGCCAGTTAAGCAGATTCTTTGCTGGCTCAGTGAGGATTGAGACAACAAGCAATGCACTGATATAGCAAGAGAATGAAGACAAGTGGCAGAAGTGAATGAATAGGGTTAGGTTCACTGTTCACTTTTTGATAACATACATGTGCTGTATACGATAATGGGTCTCACTGTGACATTTTCATACATAGGAATTGACCACATTTACCTCCCTCCCCACATTTCTCTAAAGAGGGTGAAGGCCTGGCATAGGGAGCCATGCCAGTCATACCAGTATTTGCAATGCTTTTGCTGAAAGATAGTGAGTTTAACTGAGCTCAACCTGGGCTAAATAACAAAATTACCTTGCACATACAAACAAGTGCAAAAGAACAATGGATTTGGTGAAAACAAATGTTACTGGCAGTAAGTTCTTTGGTTTTTTTTTCTTTTTTCATTTTTGTTTTGTTTTGGTTTTGGTTTTGGTTTTGGTTTTGTTTTGTTTTGTTTTGTTTTGTTTGAGGCAGGGTTTCTCTGTATTGCTTTGGAGCCTGTCTAGGTGATGGTGGTGCACGCCTTTAATCCCAGCACTCGGGAGGCAGAGGATCTCGCGCAATACATTCTTTTGACACTACGGAGGATACACCTTAGTCTATGGGTGAACGGGACTTTCTTGAAAAGCTACAGGAAGTCTCTATGTCTGTTCCTACCTTCCTGCCTTTGTTTCAAAATATGCCATGAACAGCATTACCTACACTTTTCCTTAGCATTGATTCCTTTTGTGTGGGGTTACTTTTGAATCTTCTTTGAAAACACTCTGGAGAGCTTGAGGATTATGTTCTCACTTGGAAAGCCAGCAAGATCTTCTGTCCAAAAAGATACAACTGGAAACACATCATGCCCTTTTTGTAGCTAACAAAGGTTCTACATTAATAATATATGGTGTTTTTGTCACTGAGAGATGAATGCATGTGATGACCTTTGAGGTGTTTAGTAACAAAAAGCAAAAAAGTGGAAGATAATATTCTTCATACATAGATGAAACTGTATGTATCCTTTTCAGGTCAGATCACTGCTAGCAGACATGGCTGATGTCACTGTTGACTGGGTTGATGAACATCAGCTGCAGCTTTTAGATCAAATACTGATTGTTGTTGATGAAAATGACAAGGTCATTGGTGCAGACACCAAGAGGAATTGTCATCTCAATGAAAACATCGAGAAAGGTAGCACCATAGTTTTGCTTTGTCTACTATGCAATATTCATTCATTCATTCTCTCTCCCTCCCCCTTCCCTCCCCCTTATTTGATAGAGGCAGGAGAAGAAAATGTGGGTATTCCCATAGAAAGTCTACACAGTCTGCATGGTGGTAACTTCAGGAGCAGACTCTGAAACTCACTTGGACAGAGGATTATCTGTTTAACCAGCCACCATCAGAGTCCTGAATCTTGTAGGCAGCTGTGCAGCATTTCCTTCTGAAATCCTATGGGACAAGAATCCCCGTAGGTTGAAAAGTAGTTCCCCATCCTGATATCCAATCAGATCCCTAAAACCCTATCATCCCTTGGGAAGTGTTGATTATCCAGGTGTTTTGTTTTGTTTTTGTCTATCTGTCTGTTGAGTCAGTCTCATTGTGCAACACTGGTCTGAAACTTTCTAGAAAAAAACAAGCTGATCTCAAACTCAAAGATCTGGCCTACCTCTGCCTCCAGAATGCTGAAATCAAAGACATGCATCTCCTCAGCAAGCCCAGCTCAACCTGCCAATCTCATCCAACTCTCCTTATCTCTCTTATTTCTTCCCACTACACATATCTACCTGCCCACCCCTCCCTAATCTGTCGCTAGGCTGTAAGTGCCCACTTGTCCACTTTGTACTCAGAGTTGATCCCAAATCCATAATGAGGTCTCTTTTCTCACTGAATAAAATCTTCTTGTCCTGATGTTGCCTTCCTGCCATCTAGATCTGATTTTCCCTCACAAGTCTAAAATATTCATTTTGAGTTTTAATTTGTCAAGTATGTTTTAATTAGCTACAGGCTATAAAATATCAGTTTTGGTAACCATGGTTCTACAAAGCATACAACTGCTGTAAGCATCTATTTTTCTTTTGAGACACAGAGATTGGAGATACAGTGTGGGCTACTGTCCTGTGGTTGTCTGTCCTGTGTGCCCACACTCGGACCTTTGCATTTGCAGGACTTCTCCACCGAGCCTTTAGTGTTGTTTTGTTCAACTCAGAGAAGAAAGTTCTGATTCAGCGCCGATCAGACAGGAAGCTTACTTTCCCTGGTGAGTTCATTATGACTCAGACAGAACAGGACCATGCGATGTGATCTAGAGAAATCTGCACCACGAATTACCTAGCTATAGATGACAACTTTCTGGAGGAAATTGTCACATGCTTATCAGTCTGGTGGTCATTTAATGTGTATTAGCATGAGTTGTCCTCAGATTTTAGAAACCATGCCTTTTTCCTACTGATAAAAAAAAAAAACGAACAAACAAAAAAACCCTCAATGTAGAGTACAACAACCGTGCAAGATCTCTTCCTACCTTAGCTCTTCTTTCAGTGACTACATCCTGGTCATTTTCTAAATCATCTCAGCAATTGCTAGGTAAGTTAAATTCCTTGACACATTTATGATGTTGAACTAAAACGTCAGAAAGATTCAGGAACTTCTAGGTTAGAAATGAGTTGATGTCCACAGTGTGTGAACAGAACAGATCTCATAGTGAGTGCCATGACCTCTTCAGTTACTGTGGGTAACTGAGTGAGTGTTCTAGCTTCTGTATTTGCAAGGGTAGTTTTTGCTTTAGTAAGATTTCAGCAAAGTGACCCAAATAAATAATCAGTGTCTGAAAAGCAAGGAAAGAATAGGAGATATTTAGTAAGAGCCCGTAACAAAGAGTTGGAATTACCTGGGCAAAGGAACCAGCACTGCCCATTACGAAAACTTTGTTGGAGTGTCAGGAATGGAGGGAACGCTTGGTTGATAAAGCACTCTCTTCCAAGAATGAGGACCTGAGTTTGAGCGCCATGAAAAATTGACGGGTATTGTGGCATGTGCTTGTTGGCCAGCCTAGACTAATTGGTAAACCCCAGTGCAAGGAAAGTCCTTGGAAGTAGATGGTATTCTTGAAGCTGATATCTGAATTGTCTCTCTTTTGTCCTCTGTGCGCACCTGCACAAATACATGAATATGCAAGCTCAAGCACACACACACGCGCGCACACACACAGAGAGAGAGAGAGAGAGAGAGAGAGAGGGAGAGGGAGAGGGAGAGGGAGAGGGAGAAGGAGAGGGAGAGGGAGAGGGAGAGGGAGAGGGAGAGGGAGAGGGAAATGATCTATTCTATAGCAAAAGCCATGGATGGTGGCAAACAGACCTGGATATCTGGAACTTGCTTTGTAGAGCAGGCTGGCCTTGAAGATATCTGCCTGCCTCTGCCTCCTGAGTGCTAAGATTAAAGGCATGAGGGACATCTTTTCACAAACTTACCATTACTAACTTCTACATTTCCAGGTGTTAGCCATCACACAGATCCCCAGCTCCTGGAGCTGGAGTTAGAGACATTTGTGAATTGCCTGCTGTGGGTGCTAGGAACTGAACTTAGGTCCTCTGTAAGAGCAGTAAGTGCTCTGAACCACTGAACTATCTCTCCAGCTAATAGCTCAACACTCTCAAGCGAACCTTCTGCTTCCTCAGCACCACTCTAAACCAATCCAGGCTGTATATAGCACTTAGCTCTTCCTGCTGTCAGGTAGCATTGCTAGGCCATCGCATACACCTGCATGAGAACTGTTCCCTTCCCTGAGACTCACTCAGATAGTGCAACACGTGTGTGAGCAAGCTTTTCAGGAGGGGCAGGGGAGCAGTCAGAGCTGCTGGCTCTTAGGAGTGCACCTCACAGACTTGGGAGCAGGGACTCAGGCTCTGTCTGCTTTTTTCATCTGTCATGCCTGTTGATCTACCCTGTGAAGACTGCAGTTGTGTTTCATCTATCTCCAGGAATAAATAAGAGAATTGTTTCCCCTGTGTGTTCTCTCCAGGGCACTTTACTGACTCCTGTTCTAGCCATCCACTAAGTAGGCCTGAGGAACTGGAAGAAAAAGATGCCTTGGGAGTGAGGAGGGCAGCCCTGAGACGTCTGCAGGATGAGCTGGGCATCCCCCAGGACCAGGTACCAGTGTCTGCCCAGTAACAGTTGTGTCAGCAGAAATCCAAGAAGCAAGGGGCAAAGGCTGGATGTTACCTGAGGGTGACGGAATAAGTTCTCAAATGACCAAAGTCATTCTAGCATTGCACTATATCAAGAGAGCAAAGTGCACCTATGAATTCGGTTATGTTTTATATGTAATCACCCCTGAACCACTTGGAGAAAGAGGTTACACAGGAACAACATAAGTTTCTGTAGTTTGGTTTGCTTCATTTTGGAAAATCTGTTTGGCACATGCTCAAAAGCATTCTGGAATGTGAAGAACAAGTACTTATGATCACAGGCACTGCAGAGACTACAGCAAGGGTGACACTAAATGGACTGCTTAACATCTCAGCACGCTAATCTCACTGGTTGAAAATACAACAATTTTGAGCCAAATTTGGAGAAAGCTTTAATTAAATACTGGCCTGGGTATACAGGAAATGACCATGAGTCACATTTTGCAGAGGCTTATAAAGGTAAAACTTCATGGCCACTGTATTTCCCATTTGGTCCAATCAGGGGCCATATTTCCTGCCTATGCACCTCCCACCCATATGTGATAAAGCACTCAGGTGCAGAAGGGTCAAGCAAACATATAAGCACGAACTTATTCTTAACTGTCTTAACTGCAGACAGAACTCTTACTCTGCAAGGCATATTTTTCCTGTTTTGGTCTCCCACCAACTTGCAAGGTGTGTTATTCTGGTTTTTGTTTGGGTTTCATAAGAACCCAATTCAGTAAGAAGAGTTAAGCTGATAGAAGCTGATCTCATAAAAAGAGCAGAGCCAGGATTAGACAGGTGGCAGAAATTAATGGTCAAACTCTTTCAGAACATTCCAAGAAATCAAAATGCTTGTGGTAGAGTAAAATCAAACCAGAAAGGAATCCACAGGGCTGTTAAGTGCTTTGCTCATGTTGAACAGTTTAAGGAAATTTTTCTCTTAAGTTTTATCAGGAAATCTTTAAGCCTCCCTTTCTGACTGGAACAGTAGACTATTACAAACAAGAAGCTTCAGATTTATTAGAAAAATCAAATTCTTGCTGGGAGATGGTGGCTCAAACCTTTAACTCAGGACATAGGTGGCAGAGGCAGGCAGATCTCTGTGAATTTGAGGTCAACCTGGTCTACAAAGTGAGTTCTGGGACAAGCTCCAAAGCTACAAAGAGAAACCCTTTCTTGAAAAAACCAGCCCCCCCCCAAAAAAAAGAAAGAAAAGAAAAATCAAATTCTCATACTATGTAGAAAAGATTCTAGGTAGATTAAAAGACAGAGAAATTCAGTGTTAAAAATACATACACATTCATATACTAAAGTGATTGATGGTATTAGCAACGGGTGGCAGCAGACTTCTTACAAAGCTTATATGCACAATGCTGTGATATCTGCCAAGAGAAAAATTGACATGGCAAGCATGTGACTTACTATGTAAGACAACTCTTGTAAAGAAAAACATATAGTTGGGGTTTGGTCCTGCCTCAACAAGATAATAGGACAGACTTAGACTTCCTAGGGGAGGCCTTGCCATCTCCAAGGAGCAGATGGGAGGTTGGAGGGGGGAGTGGGGAAGGAGAGAAGGGAGGGGGAACTGGGATAGGAATGTAAAGAAGTAAATACAAAAATAAAAATAGAAAGACTGCTATCACATTTTCTCTCATATGCAGAGTCCAGATTGTGTGTGTGCTCACATGAGCATGTGTGTTTTTGATGAAAACAGGACAGTGATTAGGAAAGAAGAGTGGCAACAGGAGGTAGCAAGAGAGGCAAGAGAGGTTAGAGGGTGTGTGTCAGTAAAGTACATTAAAGACATGCATGAGCATAGCATAATAAAACCTGTCATTTTATACAGTAAATCTATCATAACAATAAAAACAAACAGATCAGTTTAATTACCAATTACTAAACAGAGTTGTTCATCTTTGAGGAAAACTCCTATGCTTGTGTCATTTCTCTGCATGTTCTGCATTTTACACCAATTTTGTTCACACTGAATCCATTTATGTTACAGGTTTCTCTAGAAGACATCGTGTTTATGACAAGATATCATTATAAAGCAAAATCAGATGCAGTCTGGGGAGAACATGAAGTCTGTTACCTTCTGCTTGTCAGGAAGGATGTCACCATCAGCTCAGATCCCAGTGAAATCAGCAGCTTCAGCTACCTGACCCGGGAAGAACTGGGAGAGCTCCTAGAAAGAGACACCCGGGGCGAAGTAAATGTCACCCCCTGGCTGAGAATCATTGTGGAGAGGTTCCTGAATATGTGGTGGCCTTACTTGGATGAAGTGACCCAGTTTGTAGAGCTTGATAAGATACACAGAGTGTAAGAAGCAGGAAATCAGCCTTGGCTGTGAAGATGTCCCAGCCAGGAGCTGAGCTCAGAGGCACACCCATGGCTATGTTGTGCTCTGGGTTTCCAGAAATCCATAATCATTATCTTTAACTCTCAATCGCTTTTCTTTTTTGACACAGAGCCATATATCCCAGGTCTGCTTAAAACATATTGTGTACTGAGGATGGCTTTGAATTTCTGATTCTCCTACCTCCACCTCTATTGGTCCTTGGATTACAGGCCTACACCACTAAACAACCACTCTGCTGCTGGCTGGAGACTGAACCCAAGGTTCTATGTGTTCGAGACAAACATTCCCCAACACCCACATCCCCTTCCCGAATCTTCTCTATTTCCCAGTTTATCTTTTAATGTGCCTGGGTGCAGGGTAAAAACACATTATTTTCCCCAAATGTAGTTTCTTTTTGTTTTGATTTGGGTTTTGGTTTTTCGAGACAGGGTTTCTCTGTGGCTTTAGAGGCTGTCCTGGGAACTAGCTCTTGTAGACCAGGCTGGTCTTGAACTCACAGCGATTCCCCTGCTACTGCCTCCCAAGTTCTGGGATTAAAGGTGTGTGCCACCACTGCCCAGCCCCAAACATAGTTTCTAATTTTTAAAAGTTTATTTTAGAAATAGGCAGACTAAAGGAGAGACAGTCCCACACATATAGAATTGATGTCTTCACCATAGAAACTAAAGTTGTACAACCACCAGAGGCAGTCGTTGTATGAGGTACCAGTCTTGTCAATGGCCTGAGACTAAATCGTTTAAACACCAAAACTGACAAGACTAGAATACCTGGATTATACTTACTTATCCTGCTCTGGCCTGCAGCAACTCGATAACCTGTCCCCTGTCATCACTGTTATGCTAGGTAGTTATACAGAATACAGAGAGTCACACAATCACACTCAGTTGGGTAAATGAGTGAGCAATCATCTAAACAAATAAAATATTTAAAGTAGTTTATTTCACAAACTGTATTTTGATTTACTCAAAAGAACACTTCGAACACCAATTTCTAGCTAGTTGGGTTTTGTTTGTTTTACTTCTGGAGGGAGGACAGAACACCATCCTTGAAAAAAATTTGGGTATTTCACATCTTGTTAAATTAAATACTGTATTAGGAGAGCAAATTGGCTTTGGTTTGGTTTTGTTTAGCTGGTTTGTTTGCTTGTTTGAAATAATGTCCCACCATGTAGCCCAGGTTAGCCCACAACTCTAAATCCACCTTCCTCAACCTCTTAATCTTTCAACCTACCATGCTTGGCTGCTGTGGCATATATGTTTAAGTATGCCCCTCAGCATGCACAGACTGTTGGTTCACCCTGTATACACACTAAATATCTTTTATATTATTGTCATCAAACACTGAAACTCAGGGGGAAACTGTTTGGGTTCATGATTCCAGAGGGTCACAGTTGATCGTGGTGAGTGGTAACGCAGTGAGAACACACAGCAGTGGCTTGTTTGCATGACACAGATGAAAAGAGAAAACTGGGAAACTGGGTCAGAACCAGGAAGTAAGGCTCAGGCCAATGCTGAGGCCATGGCTTCGTGTGTCAGAATGAAGTGGTCAAAAGAATGGACAGCTCAGGGAGTAGTGGAACTTGTGGTTGAGTCGTGAACTTTGGAGTGCCACAAGTTCCAACATAGCATTTACGGTAGGACTTCTTTGTCACTAAGATGTCACTCTTTACCCTGGAGCCACATGAAGAGGCTACCAGTAGTGTGTGTACTGGCTCCCAGACTTGTTTGGCTACCAGAGCCACAGTACCAAGACTGCCAGCTATTTTGGTGTCACTTTATTAAATATCACATTTTGGAGAAGTCTGTGTGAGCCACACATTTCTGAACACAAGCACAAGGGCGCAAACCCCGATGACTTCTCTTCCATCTCCCATTCTACTCACACATATCCACAGTAGCTGACAAATGACCTTTTTCAGAGTAGCTTTACATTTTCTTTTCTGCGATCCAACATTTTTGTCCTCCCAAGCAGACAGACATTCATTCTTTCTACTATAAGAAGGTGAAATTGGGTGTGTTTGTCGGCTATGGTATTTTCATCCTACCTTAAAAATATTACATTTATTTAGTGTGTGTGTGTGTGTGTGTGTGTGTTGCGTTGCACATGTGTCACCGTGTGAATGTGGAGATCAGAGAACAGCCAGCAGGAGTTGGTCCCTCCTTCTACCCTGTGGATACTGGGAATCAAACCCAGGGTTATCTTTACCCACTGAGCCATCTTGCTTACCCCTGATTCTGCTTTTTCATCAACCTTAGGACCTTCAGGTGACATGAAATTTTCAATTGAATATTCACATGGCATAAACATCTGTGGTTAGAGATTCTGTAGGCACAGGATACCTGAAATAGGAATGGGTTCCAAGACTGGGGATAGCATGACACTGAGAATAATACAGCTTGTGGCTGATAGCATTAACTACGCACTATATTATGTTGTCCATCATTCTAGGCTCCCTCACCAAACTTTACACTCCTTTCAATTTTCAGATCAGAACAAACCGAAATAAAACATGCCTAGACATATAGGCTCAAAAGTGCAAATGTTATTTTTATTCAATAAAATATTTTTCCTTAGCTGGGCAGTGGTAGCTCTCAGCACTTGGAGGTAGAGGCAGGAGGATCTCTGTGAGTTCAAGGCCAGCCTGGTCTACAAAGCTACACAGAGAAACCTGTCTTGAAAAAAATGTTTCCTTAATCTAAAGTAACTGTAGCCAAACTTGCAGCTTGCCTTTTGTATTTACAGCCTGGAGGAATTACCTGATATTTACTTAGAAGAAAAATAACACAGAAGTACAGCTAATGGGTTAGAGGAAAGTAAAAAAATGAAACTTAGCTGGCCAGTCATTTATGGAGTACTTCAAGGCTCCATTAATCAAATCCATGCAGTTTTCATCTCAGGCTGAGTAAGCAGAGTAATGAGACAAAACAAAAGATCCAGCTACTGATGGGTTGACTTTACAAAGGTAAGGGGTGATCACTAGATATGGTGGGTTGGTTTTTCTGTGCTGGGTGGAAATCAATCCCTTAGTTTCACACAAGCATGGCAAGCACTTTGCCAACTATGTTCTACTCCCAAGCCCGTGCCATCCAATTATGACACTCTATTCGTCATTGAGTCTTTTACTGTACAGACCAGGCTATTCTTACTCCAAACTACTTCATATTGAGCAAAACAATGGTTTTTCAGACACTGCTTCCAGACAGAGATTCCATTTTACAAGCAGCCTCCGACTCCATTTTGAAGACAAAGATGAGTACACTTGGGTGGATAAGTAATGGACCCACTTGCTGAGCATCACCCATGTGCACAGACGTGCTGCAGTGACCTATTCCCGGGAGAAGAAAAGGTACCTAATAAATTTATTGGGGGGAATTGAGACTGCAGGGGAACATAGGTATATTAAAATAATATCAGGGAAACTAGATCCAAGAAGTTGTTGGACACACCAGGTCAAAGAATGGGTGTAGCTGCCATAGAAACGGGAGCACTTAGCACGGTAAGGGTGACATAATAGCCCTACTGACCAGCCACCTGACCACCCAGTGTGTACATAAAAGACTGAGCTACAATTCCCAACTGGTCTGAGGGCTTCAGCTTAGCTTGTTCCCTACTGTTGACCCTGTTTTCTTACATGCCCTCTGCCCATCCTCCAGTTTGCTCACCAGGACCTGCCATCCATCTTCTCACTCATTCACCTGGATTTAGTACTGCCTTTTGCCTTTAGCACTGGACAACTGAGTTCAAATAAGGTAATTACTGAAGGGACATAGTGGCATCCTCATTTGTAACATCGTTAAAACGGAGATTATCACCATCACTAGGGAATATACCAAGTGAAATTGTAAGCATCCTAAATAATCAAAGTATCAAATGACAAAAGGACTTAAGACACATACAGCATGAGAGAAATGTTCAGTTTCTCAGGAAACTCAATTGTCAGTGCTGTTGGAGAGGTTATCCAACACTTTTGAAGTCTGTATCAATGTGTTCTGTTTTCAAAGCAGATGTTTGATGTGAGAAATGTGAATCTAAACGTATATCTGAAGTTTTGCAGTACAGGGACTGCCTGGAATTACTGAGATTTTTTCTTCCAGTTAGAATCTTTCTTAACTATTTTGTGTGTACATGTCTCTGTGCCTGCATGCATGTCTGTACACCCCATGTGTGCAGGTGCCTGTCCAGGCCAATAAAGGAAGGTGGTACAGTGGAACTGTAGTTACAGGGGTTTGGAAGCTGCCTGACATGGTTTCCAGGACTGAACCTGGGGTTCTCTGTGAGAATAGCAATTGCTCCTCGCTGCCAAGAATGGAATCTTTGGTGTGATGTTTTCTCTTTCAGTTGATGAAATCATTTGGTTTTCTCCATTTCTGAGGAAAGACTCTGTAACTAATGCTGAATTTTCAGTTATCATATTTAGAAGTCTCTGATATAACATATGCCTCTCTTTAATACAGAACCCTCCTGTGACTTTTCCTTAATTGGTTTACAGAACACCAAGTGCTTATTTCTCAGGAGACAATGGATGCTTTCCAAAAAGGATAGACTTGAAAAGAAATCTGAAGTTTTAGATAATTTTAACGAATTGTTATTGTTATTTGTTTATGTAAAAGGCTAAGCTTTATAGTTAGAATTACACATTGGCTTATTGAAATCAATCGTAAAATCACTATGTAGTTGCTCCAAGTAGGAATAATTTGTGCTTTTTGTTTCTTTGGGTTTTTTTGTTTTTTTTTGGTTTTTCGAGACAGGGTTTCTCTGTAGCTTTGGAGGCTGTCCTGGAACTCACTTTGTAGACCAGGTTGGCCTCAAACTCACAGAGATCCGCCTGCCTCTGCCTCCCGAGTGCTGGGATTAAAGACGTGCGCCACCAACGCCCGGCTTGTTTCTTTGTTTTTTGAGACAAGGTCTCACTATGTAAACCAGGATATAAACCTGCAACTCAGAGATCTGCTTGTCTCTGCCTTCTAAATTCTAAGATTAAAGGCATGTAACACCATTTTCAGCTGGGTCCAATTCTTTTTGAAGTATTTTTTCCTGTTGTTAGGGCAGTGGCTATGCAGCAAGTGAATGCTCTGCTCAATGGGAATCTGTATAAAATATATAAGGTAAAATTGATGACAGATTTTCAATGTTTTTTTTGTTTTTGTTTTTTTTTGTTTTTGTTTTTGCGAGACAGGGTTTCTCTGTATTGTTTCAGAGGCTATCGGTCCAGCCCGGCCTCAAACTCACAGAGATCCGCCTGCCTCTGCCTCCCGAGTGCTGGGATTAAAGGCGTGTGCCACCATCGCCCGGTTCAATGTTTAATTTAGAAAAGCAATGAGACAAATTCCTTTTTTAAGCCAGGTTACTAAGAATGGATCCATAATAAGAAAAGCCTGTTGCTCAACTGGAAATCAGGTGCCAGTTTTGTTTTTTGTTTGTTTGGTTTGGGTTTTTTTGTTTTGTTTTTTGA